CCTTCTCAGAGTATAGGGAATGGTGGGAGATGCTGTGAAATTGAGAGACTGAGACTTGGATTGAGATGTCAGAGGCTTGACTTGTCTTTCCCAGTTCTGTTGCTGATGTGCAGGGTTACCTTAGGCAAATCCCCAGGTTGCTTTACCTCTGTGCTTCCATTTCCTTCCCTTTTCTTGGCTGCCCTTTGCTGTGCACATCCAGCACAGTGGGCTTCTGGGCTTTGTTGGGAGCTCTTATCTGCTAGATTATTTATTTGCATTACAGTCTTTAAAGCTCTGATGCCAACTCTGTTCCTAGTTTTGTTTTTCCCTTTGTGACCTTGAAGAAGCCACTCAGGTTCTCTGGCTAAGTAATGCTTCACTCCCTTGAACCAAAAGAACCTCTGTGAAGCAAGTTGGGAGTCTCAGACAAATTCCTGTGTGTTTCAAGGTGATGAACATGAACTTCCCTTTTGTCTACTCCAGAAGTTCTAAAATGTCTCAGGTTCTGCAGATGAAAAGAACTGTGCACAGGTTAGACAGGGAGGCTTTCAAATCTTTCCAAATACAAAGCTGACTTCACCAAAGAGAATGTGGTGTCTGCTGCAGACACCTCTGTTGGAGAGGTGAGTGTGTAGCATGCAATGTGGGTAAATGGTGGATGGGAAGTTGGGGAGGAGAGGAGGCAATGAAGGCAAGAAGGTCAGAAATTGAGGTTCATCAAAACCAACTTCCTCCTTTCACTGTGTTTGGCAGAGGAAAATTAAGTTTGTTGGTTTGGCTGGTTGGAAAGTGCCCCAGTCAGAAGGAACACTGAAAGCTGCTGTAGATCCATATAAAACTTTGGGGGCTGCCAAACTCCCAGTCAGCTTCAGGTCTTCAAGTATGGTGGCCTTGAAAATTTGTTTCTGTTTCTGATTTCTGCCACATAGAACAGTTATTCTGGTCCTGAGCTGCCCCAGAACAGGGAGCTCTCATTTCCATTTAAGCATTGCCCAGTGTTCTGTGCAGCAGATGCAGGTGTGACTCTTCTGAGCATGAGTTGCAGCCAGACTCAGCCAGAGAGAAGCTGGTTCAAAAGGCATTTGAGTGACCTGCCCTGGATTCTGTGGTGGTCCTGCTCAGGCAGGGGGGGTTGGACTCCATGGTCTCCAGAGATCCCTTCCAACCCCAAGCATTGTGATTCTGTATTTGCTACTGTCCCAAAGAAGCAGTTTATATTTCCAGGTAGTAGCTTCAAAATGAGGGTAAATACTTACCTTTCTTCTCTAGTCTCTTCTCAAAGCCTGTGGTTACATTGTCTCTGCAGCTGGAGGTGGCAGGGCTGCTAAACCCATTCTTTCCCCGTGAAGCAGCTGGTGTTCCTGCCAGGCTGGTCTCATCAGGCACCGCAGTTCTTCATGCCTGATGTCTGCACTGAGTTGCTCTGCTTTAACACATGGTATCAAACACCCCCACACCCATCATGACAGAGCATCCTTCTTTCCTGCGCTGGGAGATTAGCTCCTGGAGGGCAGAAGTGGAGCACATTACTAGCAGATTGTCCTCATCCCTCTAATCCTTGTTCCCTCCTCTTCCTGCATGCCTGACTGAGCCATCTCTGGTGTGTGACTGCTCTCAGGGGGGAGAAACAACATGAGGCTTTTTGCTCCAGAACTGCTGTGTAATTGACATTCAGTCAGGCAAAAAGGTACAATGGGGTGACCCTTAAAGGCTTTACACATTGTAGGAGAACAAGGATCAGCAGCTGGTCAGCCAGCTCTTCAAACTCTGGCCCCGAGCTCCATTTAGTAGCCCTGGTGGGTTCTGTGAATGTGGAAGAAAATGGAAAGATCCCAAGCTGGTGAGCAGTTGCAAAGCTGACAGGTACTAATAAGCTTCTTTGGGTTGCCTGTGCTTATTTATGCAGGTGTAAAGTGTTTCATCTGGATTCTGTTAGTTTATACTAATGAAGTTTTTCAGGTGTGTTTGTAGCTGTGCAGCTCCAGAACATGGGTTTGCAGCCAGGATGGTTCTCTGACAAGATAAACTTGTATTTAGAAAAGGCACAGATCCTGCTGGTTACAGCCCTCGTTGCAGTGCTCTGCAGGGGCACATTTATTGGGGTAGGGGAGAGTCAGGCTACCCAGAATGTATTTCTCCTCCTCCCCTGTTCCCCTCATGTAAGCCCCTGAGTGCAGCAGTGTGCTTGTCTTCTGACAGAGCCCTGCACTCTCTGTTCCTGGCATGACTGTGTTTGTTCTGTTGAGTGCTGAGACTGGTGTGCCCACTGATCTGAACATTTGCTCATCAGCTGCCAGTTACCATGTGGCAGCTCCAACAGGAACTTCTGCAATGGACTGGAGCTGCTGAGCAGATGTCCTGCAGGGTGGCATAATTTCATCTGCCTTAGTTTGCTATGGGAATTCAGAATTGACTCCACAAAAATGCCACCTGGCAGTGTCTCCTGTGGTTGTCCACAGGGGTAGCTGACCAGATGTGTCACTGGGCAGGCATTAACCTGCTTGGATCAGGGGAGGGCCTGTTTCCTCCCCTGTGTTTGCAGAAGGTGAAGAAACTTGTGAGCAGGCTCTGGTCCTGCAGCAGGCACCCGGGAGTGTAACCACAGCTGACTTGACTCTACCACTTTGCCCCGTGTGATTTTTGGCAACTCTGTCAAGGGATGCACGTCCTCAGGCCCTCCCTAGAGTCATACCCTGGCATCTCAGAGCTCCAAAGCATTTCCACAAGAGTTTTGAAGTGACAGGTCAATCCAGTACCTACAAAGTTTCCTGTTCCAACCTACTGTGGTAGGTCTGTCTCTTCTGTTCAGCAGAGTTATATAATTTTTCTGAGTCCCACAGGCAAAATTTCCCTGTGCTGGTCAGCAATGCTTGTCACCTTCACTGCCCCAACCTGAACTGCTTTATTCTGCAGAAGACAGGATAAACTGACACTGAAGTGTGGAAGTTCTTTGACTGTCATCACAGAGCCTGGTACCTAAGATGGTGGTTGTCCCAAAAGCTGCCTGCAGTAGCTGCTGCTCTGATGTTTAATGTCCTGCTCTAGAAGAAGCAGTCCTGTTGTGTCATGTCAGGCTGAGGGCAGGAGCAGTAACTTAGACTTTGCCATTTCTTATTGAAAAATTACTTCTATGGGAGGGAAGCAAGGGGTTTTTTTTGCAGGGTTGTTTCCCTGCAGGATTCTGTGGATAGTCTTTCCTTTACCAGCAGAGCCAGGTACTCCTAGGAGATTATCTGCTTTCTCCCCCCTCTCTCTGAGGTGTGGAGGGGCTGCTGTGGTGAGTGGCATTTTTACCATGTGGGAGGTGGCTGTGCAGAGAGACATCCCAGCCGCCTTGTTGCCCCTTCATGTAAGCTGGCCAGGAGTTGGAAACTGCTTCTGGCTTCTTGTGAGCCTGGACTAGCCAGACTGTTCTCCCTGTGCTGCAGTTCTCATTCTCCTTTTGTCTCCTGGCATTTTTCAAGCTCAAATCCTCTTTCCTTTTCCCTGCCTCCCTCCCTTCAGTCCCTGTTATGTATTTCCCATTCCTTTCATCTCCCCTCCAGTCTGTTTCCAGTGCATTTGTTCAAAGTACAACCTGTTTGGGTGTTGCCATGGACACAAGGATATTTGGTTATCCTTCTGTTTCTTGGACTGGATGCATGTGGAAATCCTGTGGAGAGAGCTGACTGCAAGGCTCATTCTGGGCCTGGCTTTCCTCATCTTGCCATGCCTTGGGCACAGAAGGCAAACAACCTGTAATGACTGGCTGGCTTAATCATTAAGCAGCACCTAGGGCTGTGGTGCTGCTGCTAGAACCTGGTGGTAGATGGAAAAATGCAGCTGCCCTGTTCTCAGATCAAATCTCTGCCAGCTCAAGGCCCTTGCAAGGGAGTGGTCCCTCTGGGGTGGCATGTTGGAGGTGAGACTGAGAAGTTCTAGGTGTGGAAAACTCACTGTAACTTGGCTGCTTCCTGGAGTTCAGGCCATATTTTCTAGATTTTATTTTTATTATTTTTAACTAGACTTCCTTAAAAAAAAAAAAGGCAGAAAAAACTAATCACAAAGAGCCCTTCAGCAGCATGAAGCAAAGCAGGGCCTCCTCCTAGTCTGCAGCTGGGTAGAATGAAATAACATGATAAAATTACTCTGATTTCCTCCCTTTCTTGCCCATACTCATCTTAATGAAGAGTTAACTTTGAGGCTGCTATTAGAATCAGTGTTTCTCCCATGATGATCGTGTTTGTAGCTTCCCAGTCAATGTGCTTATCTAGTGAGGGAAATGCTGTTTGCTTTTGCATCTGGGTGTGCCAACAAGAGGAGAGGCTGTTTCAGAAGAGCAGGTCTGCAGATGGTGTGTCCATTCAGCTCTCCTGTCTCCTCTGGGATAGGCAGGTGTCTGACCTTCTTGCTGCTGACCTTCCAAAAGATGTGAGGCTCCCTCTGCAAACACCTGAATGGAGCTGGGCTGGGTGCTCCCGGGGTGGAAGACTTTAAAATCATTGCCATCTTTGAGTGCAGGAAGACAGCACTAGGGAAGCATCTTTGGGAGCTTCCTGTGGCTTCTTGCTTATGCCCATCATCTTATCTGGATCTTCAAAAGAAGGCTGCTGTTTCTGGTACACCTTGCCTGCTGTTTTATTCAGTGTGCACTAGTGCTTGTTCGTGGAGCTGTTTTGGCACTACTTTGGTGCTGCAGTTGAGCAGTCCTGTCCCAAAACAGCTGGCACTTTCTGTAGAGATACTTGCTGACATTGTTCTTCTGGGCTTGTTTCCCCTTCCTCCCCCACTGTGGGCTACGGAGAGGGCCAAAATACTCATATCAAAGGCTTCTTCAATTCTTCTCATCTTGGAAGTGTCCTGTGTTAAGTTTCTCAGCACATGGAGAGCTTTTAGGGTAGTTTTGGGTGAATCAAATGATCCACTAGATGCGTAGATAGGGAGATGAAGTGTCTGGGTGGGTATTGCATGGCACTCTGCAGGCTGCCCCAGGACTTCATGGACTTTGCTCATCTCTACTTTCTGGTTTCTAGCACTCCAGGGTGGATCCTGAGGAGCTGTTCACCAAGCTGGAGAGGATTGGCAAAGGATCATTTGGTGAAGTGTATAAAGGGATCGACAACCGCACCAAGGAGGTGGTGGCCATCAAGATCATTGACCTGGAGGAGGCTGAGGATGAGACTGAGC